CCCAGTTTGTATAGAAATTCATGCATGTTTTCTTTAAATACTGGAATAGTCCCCTTTCCCCTGCCACAAGTCGCCTGGTCTGAGACTCAACCATGCAGTCAGTCATGTGGGATGCAGTCACAACCAGCTGGCCCACACTGATTTCTGTTCTTTATAGTGTCATTTCATTTACTTAATTTTATTTATATTTATTTATTTATTTGCCATCAGGTGCATGCGCTTGCCGGAGAGAGACACAGACAGAGAGATGGAAAGTGAGAAATCACACCATCGCACCCCAGAGGAATAGCTATGCTGCAATCCTTTCTCCTTCATTTTCCTCCTGGGATTTTGGGCACGCACACACACATTTGTACCTGCATCATTTTCAAGCTGCCAGGTCTGGGACTCAAATTTCAGGAGCCCATGGGAATCTAGCACCTTAATCACCACACCACCTGCTGGCCCCAGAGCCTATTTTATTAAAGCTGGGTCATTATTAGCTGCTACTCTGGGTAGAACCTAAGAGCCGTCAAAATGTTTGCTCAGCTGGAAAAGCTAAAACCTAACCTGAAAAATGTTTTGGGAAAAAAAGATGCTTGGGTACAGGAGATATACAAGTGTAGGCCACTCTGTGAAAGACCACTCACTAGTGGCGACATTATCTGGTTCGCACATTTAAAAAAAAATAATTGTTTATTTAATTCTATTTGTTATTATTTTCCAATTTGATGAGAGAGAGAGAGAGGAGACAGAGAGAGAGAGAGGAAGCAAGAGAGAAAGCAAGCTGCCAGGTCCGGGACTCCCACATGGCTGACTGGGGTTCAAGTCCTGGACCTGGCACCTCTCTGTCTCTCAGGTGAGCACACGCCCTATAGCAAATTAATAATAGATAAAAATTTGGGGCCAGCAGGTGGCACAGTAGTTAAGGTGCTAAATCCCTACATAGCTGACTGTGGTTTGAGTCTCGGACCTGGTGGCTGGAAACTCACACTGGGTGTACGTGTGCGAGTGTCCCAAATCCTGCGAGAATGTATTAATTGCAGTGTGGCCATCTCTGGCAGGGGTGATTTCTTGCTTTCTATCTCTCTCTGTGTGTGTCTCTGGCAAGCGCAAGTGCCCTACAGCAAAAATATCTCTTAAAAAATAGAAATTTAAGGGGTCGGCAGGTGATGTGGTGGTTGAGGACGCTGGACTCCCACATGGCCAATTGTGGTTTGGGTCCTGGATCTGGAAGCTGCTTTCTCACTTTCTCTCTCTCTCTCTCTCTGTCCCTCTCTGGTCAAATTAAAAATGAATAAATAAATGGATAAATAGGGACCAGCGGTTGACGAAATGGTTATGTCACTGGACTCCCATGTAGTTGACCATGGTTTGAGTTCCAGATCCGGTGGCTTAAACTCACGCTGGGTGCGTGTGCACGTGTGCTCAAGATCCCGAGAGGAGAGTAGAGGAGGGATTGTGGTGTAGCCATCCCTACAGCAGGTGATTTCTTGCTTTCTGTCTCTCTCTTTCTGGCGAGTGCATGTGCCCTATAGAAAAAAAAAAAAAAAGGATAAAGTTAATTTTTTTTTTGGAGAGGTTTTTGGGTACATGTACCCTCAGAAACAGAGAGATAGAAAGTGAGAAATCACCCCCTGGGGGGATGGCCACGCTGCAATCCCTTCTCCCTCATTCTCCTTTGGGATCTTGGGCACGCACGCACACGCGCCCGGTGTGAGTTTAAGCCACTGGGTCTGGGACTTGAACGCAGTTGACTATATGGGAGTCCAGTGACATAGCCATTTCGCCAACTGCTGGACCCTAAATGATAATTCTTAAAAAAAAAAAAATAGAAATTTAATAATCCTTTAAAAAAATTGTCAAGGGCGTGTGCACTCACCAGAAACAAAGTAACACCCAACGTGGTGTGGTCATACCACAACCCTTCTCGTCCATTTCTCCATCCTGTTCAGATTTTAGGCATGCACACACACTTGACCCTCTTCAAGCCGACAGGGCTGGGATTTGAACCATAGATTATGTGGAATTCTACTCCTTTAACCACTAAACTACAAGGCCAGCCTAATCCTGACATGTTAATTTGGTTGACAACCAAGAACAGACTATTACTGCCCTCCTCCTTTCTATCCAGAGGGACCGCATGACTAAGTAAGTCTGTGAGAATGTGAGAAACTTTTACAAAATTTTTTTTTTTAAAATTTAGAGAGAATTTTGTTACAGGGTGTGTGTGCTGCTGGAGAGACAGAGATGGAAAGTGAGAAATCACTGCCCCCCCAGGGGGGTGATGGCCACGTCACAGTCCTTTCTTCTCTCAGGATTTTAGGATGCACACGACACCTGGCCTGAGTTTTAAGTCATCAAATTTGGAACTCAAACAGCAGTCCACTATGTGAGATTCCAGCGATGTAACCATTATGCCATCTGCTGGTTGGTCCCCTAGAAGTGTTCTGATCTTTACTTTCCTTTAAAAAAAAAAAAACAAAAAAAACTTAAATATATATATGTATGTGTATATATATATATATGTGTGTGTGTGTGTGTGTGTGTATGAAAGAATGATTTTATTTAACTTTGTTTTAATTTGATCAGTGAGGGACAGAGTGAGAGAGGGAAGGCGAGAAAGTAAGCTGCCAGGTCTGGGACTCAAAACTCAGGTCAGTCATGTGGGAGTCCAATGCCCTTAACCACCATGCCACCTGCCAGCCCCCTTTATTTATATTTTAAAATTTGACCAGAGAGACAAAGGGGAACTGAGAAAGCAAGCTGCCAGATCCAGGACTCAAACTGTGGTCAGCCTTGTGAGAGTCCAGTGCCTTAACCACCACACCACCTACTGGCCCCAGCAAGTATTACAGGAGAGGTAGGATACTCTCTTCCAGCTGGCTCAAATGCTGAGCTGGAGCAGCTGTTTCAACCACACATGAAAGCTGAATGTTGAGAAGGGGCATGAGCAATACAGAAGGAACCTGAATCCCTAAACCCAGTGTCATACAAGCAAGCCCTGGACTGCCTTCCAGACCTTCACATGCAAGAGAAGCAAGCTTCTGCCTTACAAGTCACTATTATTTGGAGACACAATCAAACTAATAGAAACTAACACATATCATCAAGTTTTGGTTTAATTACCTTAACCTAGAAGGTTGATTTAAGTGATATATTACATTTGGTGGTATTTCTGTCTCCTGTTCAAGTGCTATAAAAGATGTTTTCCAAAGAGAAAAAAGTGCAGCACAGACAAACATTTTCAGAGGTGCTTAACTTCAAATATTTGGATTCCTGGGACCAGCAGTTAAGGTAATGGCTATGTTGCTGGACTCCCATGTAGTCGACCGTGGTTTGAGTCCCGGACTCGGCGGCTTAAACTTACGCCGGGCACATGTGCGTGCGTGCCCAAGACCCCGAGAGGAGAATGGAGGAGAAGGGATCACAGTGTGGCCATCCCCTCGGGGGGTGATTTCTCGCTTTCTGTCTCTCTATCTCTCTCTGTCTTTCTGGTGAGCGCACATGCCCTATAGCAAAAACGTCCCCCCCCCAAAAAAAAAATTGGATTCTTGGTGGTAAAGCCTGCATCTATGGTTTTTTTTTGGGGGGGGGGTTAAGGGAGGAAATCATAAACAAAAAGTAGTTGCCTTTGCACTGTCTTAGGATGTAAAATAACTATAGTCCCTTCCCACAAGAGAACTCTAACGAGCAAATTAAACAAAGCAAAATTGGTTTGTTTTATTTACAATACTCAATGCATCTTACAAATAACATATTTGCATTCCCTAAGTCTTTTGTAAAGTAATTCCAGTTTGTGCAATGAGTTTACAGGAAAATCTTAAGACATCTATTAGATATCTTAAACTTAAACTCTACATTTTGAAAGATATTTCACACTATGTTAATAGAGGACTGTTTTAATTCAGAAAAACAAACTCTTGTAGTTAAATACTGCCCTCCAATATCTTTAACCCAAATATAAACCAGATTAGCCTACAAAATAAGACTGTTAGATTTCAATCGACTTCTCTTCCCCAATAAAATGCATGCATAAAGTAAACATGGTAAATTACATTAACCACATTTTTATTTCAATACTTTTTTTTTGGACTCTCTCAACTGTCATTTTGCTCAATTCAGGGTATATAGATAGGGAGAATCCCAGCCCAGAGAAACCGTAAACCACTACTCCCTGCTTTGGAAA